TTTTATGGCTGTTCTCTTATCCTTATTTAGATGGTCCTTTTGTGGGCATCTTACACAAGAAATTATCTTGGGCCCCTTTTTGGAAGTAGGCGTAGAACAAATAAAACATTGCTTCACTGCTCTACTTCTCTAGTCACAAAGAAGGTAATGATAATTTTGCCTTTGTGTTTGCCACTCTTTATGTTCATTTAAAAGTTTAGCCACTTATTCATCCATTTAATGAACATGAATATTTATTGGACACCCACTATCTTCCAACACAGCACTAAATGATGCACATTCACAGTATTCAAAGATGAATTGGTACCAAATGTTTCATGGGACAGAGAGGTTGGAAAGTTGTACCAAGTTCAGTGCTCTAAGTTGCTACATCCTCTTTAAGGAAGATGAGATCCAAAGGCTTAGAGATGGGAGAAATGGGGATTGGCATGATATCTGTTATGCATGGATTTCCTAGGAGTAGAAAGAAAACCTTAAAGGTCAAAGAAGAAGTCACAACTGGGGAAGAAAGATGCTGGTATTGTCCAAGTACAGAAATTTTCCAGAGGGTCCTTTCTAATCAGAACATTTTCTATGAAAGCCAGGAGATCCTTCAACAAGCAAGGATGACCATATAATCCTATTTTTCACAGTGGCTTTATAGTCCATCTATTTATACCTGAACAAAAATTACTACCATAGAAAAACAAAAACCAATCATCACACCAAACTTATAAACTAGAAGTTCAATACCAATCTCTAAAATGAGGATAATATCATAGAACTATGGTAGCAACTAAAAGTGCAAATATATTTTTTAAACTTAGCAATCAGGAAATCTAACATTATTAAAGAAACAATACAGTAACTAGAAAACATATAATGAAGAAAAATAATCTGAAAATGCTTAAAATAATTTTTAAAATGCTTACAGTGAACATCTAGATAAGTTTGTTAATTCTGCTGTGAAAGAAAGTTGTGGTATCATGGTAATTGGATCTGCTATTTCAATATCTGTTTCTTCAAATTCTGAAGCTAAATATGAGAAGCTCTAGAAACAGGAAAATAAATAATTTATAATGTAATTTCACTGCTTAGAACAATTATTCTTAAAATTAAAATTTTATTTGTCATTTCGTTGGGTAACTATTACAAATATCAAGATTTCCTATTCTATCATTATTCTATCAAACAATATTATAACCAGTTAGGATGAGTTGAATGTTATTTTGCAGTGTAAATACCTCCTGTTTCTTCCTGTTCTTAAATGCTTTTCCTTCAGTTTTCTTCTCAGTCCCCCACGTTTTTGACAATTCTTGTTTTTGTTCATCACATTTATTCATTTTCAACCTAATTAATAAAAAGTAGAATTATTTAAAGCAGAAATAATGGAATTATTTGAGTTGTTAGAGATTGTGCCAACACAGTACACACATACATCACAATCTCTTATTAAATAATTGTACATCCCAAGGAAATTATCAGTATGATACACACATATATATATCATATAAATATAAAATTTCATAAGCTTGTTCTCAGTTTTCACAGATTTCTCCCTACTTATTAAATACTACCAGAGAAGCCCAGTTAATTTACTGTTAGTACTTTTACGCCCTTTCTAAGGATATTAAGAAACCTCTCTGATGAGAATAAGGGACCAATGGGGATGGAAGATATAAATTTAAGGGCAAAATCCATGCTTCCTCTTTTTTTTTTTTTAATTTTTGGCCACAACAGGCAGCATGTACGATCTTAGTTCCTCGACCAGGGATTGAACTCACACCCCTTGCATGGTTAAGTGTTGAGTCAACCCCTGGACCACGAAGCAAGTGGTGGCCCAAGTGGACCAAGCAAGTCCCTCTCATATTTCTTAAGCTGTGAACATGAGCATGTGTAAGGGCAAGACACTATGGCAATAGTAAGTGGGAAATCAGGTATACTCCTTGGGGTTTATGCGTAAACAGTAAGGGATTCATGACATTACCACTACCAATACAGTGACTGCCGCCACCACCACCACCACTAACAACTACTACTACTGTATTACTACCACTTCTATGGGAACCACCACCACCACCAACTACTACTACTGTACCACTATTATTTCTACCACTATCACCGCCACCATCACTAACTACTACTACAATTAGCCCCAGCTAACTCAAACATTGTGCTTACTAAGTACATGCCAGGCAATGTTCTAAGTACTTTACACATATTAACTCACTTAATTCTCACAGCAACCCTACAAAGTAGGTATTACTATTATTCCTCTTCCATTAGTAGTCCAGCAAAACCCCAGTCATCTGGAATACTTTCAGATGGCAGGGGTTTACACTTTTCAGTACAAAGTTTAGTCTTTAAACTTTAATCTTTTAAAAAGGAGATTCTTTGATATTATATGCTCTGTTGGGAATAGAAAATGGTGCAGCTGCTCTGGAAAACAGTTGTCTTAAAGCTGTAACTACTGTTTTTATATTCAAGATACAAATTCTTTGTTGACTACATCAAGCAGTTGACTAACTTCTGGATTTTTTCCCAGTTTCTGTTAATTCCCAGGGATTAGTGGGCAACTCCTCAGAAGACCTATAAGAACAAACAGAGCAGCCACTCACCTCTGAAACTGTAACTTTACTGAAGTGCTTGTAAACCCTTGTCGTTGTCGAAGGGATTTTATCTGTTTCCAAGTCCGTAATATACTGTGTAGTAGGGAAAAGTCCTTTTCCTTTTCTAACTCATAGAGTTGTTTTGTATTACTACAACAATAATGTTAGATTAAAAATACATTAGTGAACTGAGCATATATATACCCAGAGAAAACTAGAATTCAAAAAGACACATGCACCCCAATGTTCACTGCAGTACTATTTATGATAGCCAGGACATGGAAACAGCCTAAATGTCTATCAACAGAGGAATGGATAAAGAAGATGTGGTACATATATACAATGGAATATTATTGTCACAAAAGGAGTGAAATCGGGTCATTTGTAGAGACACGGATGATGTGTATAAAATAGATGAGAAACTACTGTATAGCACAGGAAAATCTACTCAGTGCTCTGCAGTGACCAAAATGCGAAGGAATCCAAAAGAGAGGAGACATATATAGACATGATTCACTTTGCTGTACACTAGAAACTAACACAACATTGTAAAGCAACCAGACTCCAAAAAAAAAACGGAAAAAAAAAACAAAAACAAAACCATGTTGGTGGATTAGAGCTACAAGTCATTACAAATGGCTTCAAACAATTTATTGCACTAACTCTTCTGGGCTCCCCACCTCATTTTTTTGCTTTTTTTTTTTTTTTTCCATTTTACTCATATCGTCATACAGAGAATGAAATTCCATTTAGAGATTCATGCGTCTTTAAGATTTTTCACTACTCAAAAGTACTCTACTAAAATCCACGTATTTCCAGGTTTTCTGGACATTCTGTAGTATATTTATCATACTTTTTTCAGATTAACAATCAGAACTACTGCTTCAAATTTAGAAGTACTTTGCCTGATGGGATACTGAGTATACTACTTGAATACCAAAGTAATATAATCCAGTCTATATAAAAATGGATTGCTTAACCCATTTAGATATATTTAGATTTAACTTAACCATTTTCTTTTGTGCTTTCTCCTTGTCTTATGTTTCTATGTTCCCTTTTCTCTCTCTTTTTTTGTCTTCTTTTGGATCAGTTGAGTATTTCTTATTATCTCATTTTCTTCTTGATTTGGAAACTATATGTTTATTCTCTTCCTTTAGAGGTTGTAAGTTAAAATTTAAGTCCTTCATTTACTAAAGTCTTAATCGCCAATGCAAATATCTTTAATTACTTTTACCCTTCTCCATTCTTTACTCCACTCTAAAAGTTTCATATTTTAACTGTTTTTACTTTTTATTGAAGTATAGTTGATTTATAATATTGTGCCAACCTCTGCTGTACTGCAAAGTGACTCAGTTTTACATGTGTATACATTCTTTTTAAAATATTCTTTCCCATTATGGTTTATCCCAAGAAATCGTATTCAGTTCCCTGTACTATGCAGTAAGACCTTCTTGTTTATCCATTCTAAATGCAATGGTTTGCATCTACCAATTCCAAATTCCCAGCCCCTTCCTCTCCTTCCCCACTTGGCAACCACAAGTCTGATCGCTGTTTGTGAGTCTGCTTGTTTTGTAGATAGGTTCACTTTAGATTCCACATAGAAGTGATATCATATGGTATGTTTTTCTCTTTCTGACTTACTTCACTCAGAATGACAATCTAGTTTCACCTGCAAATGGCATCATTTTTTATGACTGAGTACTATTCCACTGTATATATGTACCATATCCTTCCTTATCCATTCATCTGTCGATGGACATTTATTATAGGTTATTTCCATGTTTTGGCTATTGTGAATAGTTCTACTATGAACATAGGGGTGCATGCATCTTTTGAATTATAGCTTTACCCAGGTATATGCCCAGAAGTGGGATTGCTGGATCATGTGGTGATTCTATTTTTAGTTTTCTCAGGAACCTCCATCCTGTTTTCCATAGTGGCTACACCAACATACATTTCCAACAACAGGGCAGGAGGATTCCCTTTCTCCACACTCTCTCCAGCATTTGTTATTTGTAGACTTTTTATTGATGGCCACTTTGACTGGTATGAGGTGATACCTCATTGTAGTTTCAATTTTCATTTTTCTAATGATTAGTGATGTTGAGTATGTTTCATGGGCCTACAGGCCATCTTTACACATTCTTCAGAGAAATTTCTATTTAGGTCTTCGGCCCATTTTTTTATTGGATTGTTTGATTTTTTGTTATTGAATTGTACGGGCAATTTATATGTTTTGGGGATTAAGCCCTTGTCAGTCACATGATTGCAAACACTTTCTCTCATTCCATAGGTTGTCTTTTTGGGGTTTTTTTGGTTTTGTTTTTGTCTGTTTCCTTTGCTGTACAAAAGTCTGTAGTTTGATTAGGGCCCATTTGGTTACTTTTGTTTTTTATTTCTATTGCCTTGGGAGACAGACCTAAGACCTAATTGTACCACTGGTACAATTTATGTCAGAGAATGTTTTGTCTATACTCTCTTCTAGGAGTTTTATGGTGTTATGTCTTACCTTTAAGCCATTCTGTGAACTCTAATTTTATGCCCTGCAAAACATCATTACATGACTGCTCACTGAGACTTAGCCACATATTTACCACTCTTTGCTCCTTAGTCCTTCCTTACTTCCTCAGCATTCTTTATGTCAATGAGTGTTTTTGGCTCTAAGTTTTAGTTAACCTTATAAACAACAGTAATTTACTGTTTTGTAAATACTGATGGTTTCTATCATTCATTCATTCAACTACTATTTACAGAGATAGTTCACTATGTGTCAGTACTTGTACAAGGCATATGTCAGTTTCCTTAAGTAACAATGTTTATACTGAGGAAACCCAATTATTTAAAACAACTTGCCTCCAGTGGTCAAGAATTTGTAGAGCCATTTTAGGTCAATGGGCAGGGAGTCAGAGAAATTCTATAACTATCAAATCACTCAGAGTTGTCCATATCTTTGTGTAAGTTTAACTTTCTACCCAATAAGTACCTCCCAAAGTTTTCCTGCTTTTGGGGATTCCTTGACACATAATTATGGATTGTCTTTAAATTATTTTTCCAATTATTTTATACTTTCCTAATTTCTCTTCCTAAGTAGTCTATTAGCTAATGATTCCCAAATTGTAGACCATTTTTTAAAATAAGGGTCCTTAACTCTACATACTCATTGAGTATTGCTTTTAGACTAAATTAATAGTATATCTTGCACATGTGTATGCAGACTAATTCTCAAACATACAAACACTTGAGATAAACATGATTCAAGTCAACTGAAAGGTATCAGTAAATTTGTAATAGTTTTTAATCAACATACATTTTTAAATAAATAGATCATATTAATAAAACTACAACTAATTTCATGTGATACTTCTATTAAATATTTTTACACAAAAATGTTACAAAAAGTTGGAACCATTTATTTAACTGCCTAAAGACCAGGGGTCTTCAGCAGTCTCACTCCTGGGTATATACCAGAAAAAAGGAAATCTCTAGTTGGAAAAGACACATGTACCCCAATGTTCATAGCAGCAGTACTTACAACAGCCAGAAGATGGAAACAAGCCCCAAGGGTCCACCAACAGGTGATTGGTTTAAGATGTATATATCCCCTCACACATACAAATATGGAATATTACTCAGCCATAAAAAAGAATGTAATATTATAATTTGCAACCGCATATGGACCTACAGGGGCTTCCCAGGAGGCACTAATGGTAAAGAACCTGCCCACCAATGCAGGAGGATATAAGAAATGCAAGTTTGATCCCTGGGTCAGGAAGATTTCCTTGGAGAAGGGCAAAACAATCCACTCTAGTATTCTTGCCTAGAAAATCCCATGGACAGAGGAGCCTGGTGGCTACAGTCCATAGGGCTGCAAAAAATCAGACATGACTGAAGCGACTTAGCATGCATGCATGCATGGACCTAGAGAGTATTTTACTTAGTGAAGCAAGTCAAAAGAGTAAAAAAATACTATATAACATCACTTATATGTGCAGTCTAAAAAATAATACAAATGAATCTGTATACAGAACAGAAACAAACTCACAGACATAGAAAGGAAACTTAAGGTTACCAAAGGGAAAGGAGGGAAGGAGGAACAAATTAGAAGTGTTGGGTTAACCCAAACTATTACACATAAAATAGATAAGCAACAACAACAAAAAATAGATAAGCAACAAAGACTTACTGCTTAGCACAGGGAATTATATTTGATAAATCTTATAATGGCAAATATTTGATAAAACTTATAATGCAATATAATATGAAAATTACAACTGAATCACTGTGCTGTATACCTGAAACTAACAAAATACTGTAAATCAGCTATATTTCAATTTTAAAAATAGGATATTGTTAGTTTCTTATTTTACATCTTCCACAGCATAGTACAATACTTTGTTTAAACAAGCTCCTTAATAAATGCTTGATGAGTACAAGAATGTCCTAAAACCTACCTTATCTGCCAATAATAATCCTGCAAAGATTTTCTGGTCAGCTGGCTTATTTCCGAATTTTCATTTGCTAATTTGGTAGCATCCGTCAGTGCTTTAAGCTAAAACAAAAGAGCTTTTTTGGTACACTTCATCCCCCTGTTACTATCACTCCAATTCACTTGTAGGTCTAAGTATGTGCAGCAGAAACACAAGTGTATACTTTTTTTGTATTACTGTCTTGTCTTCCGAAATATATTTCATAAAAGTACCTTGGGGCAGAACTGAAAAAGAGCCTCAGTATTTGTCTAAGAAATAAACATTACACCATGAAACTTCTAGGCAGTCATTTGACCAATTAACACAAAGAAATGTCAATCAATCAAGATAGAAGACTGAACACAGGAATCTATTTTATCTTCTACCTAATATCTCATGGTTACAGAAAAGATATCTGTCTTTATCCATATCCACTGCCATCATCACAACCATATCTATATAAGTATTTTATAATTATATCTACATCTATATCTCTCTATAAAAGAATAAATATATAGCAACATAGGAAAAGAAATAAAATAAAATCAACAAAATATACTGAAGAAACTATAAAACAAAGAGAAATATCCACAGAGAATATCAACAAAGCAATGAAAGCAGGGGAAACTGTTCTCTATTACAGGGATAGGCAGAAAAAGCCTATCACAGTTAGGGACAGTTTGTGGGAACTCCAAGACTGGAGTCAATGAATATAAACTTTTATTGTAAGACACAAGGGAAGACCTCAACAACTATGAAGACATACTTCATGCCTGGATGAGGAAACCCAATTTTTTAAAGATAAAATTTCCTTCAAAATTAATATAATAACCAGTGGTTCAGATTGTAGAGAATCTGCCTGCAATGCAAGAGACCCAGGTTCAGTCCCTGGGTCAGAAGGTCTCCTGGACAGGGGAATGGCTCCGCACTCCAGTATTCTTGCCTGTAGAATTCCACGGACAGAGAAGCCTGGTGGGCTACAGTCCATGGGATCGCAAAGAGTCAGACGTGACTGAGAGACTAACACTTTCATTTTCAAAGCAGCTGCAGTGAAAACGGTAGAATAATCTTTAAAACAGAAGTTGACAAGCTAATTCTAATGTTCATATGGAAGATCAACTCTATAAGAATACACAAATTTTATTCTAGGAAAAAACCAGTGAGGAGGTACTTGTCCTTAGAAAAGTCAGGGTTGTTCATATTGTTGAGCCATCAAATTAACCAACTACAGAACTGCCCTAACTTGGAACTTTTGATATAGAAAGTCATACCTTTTCCTTATTGTTTAAAGCAATTGAAAGAGCTTTCTGTGAATTGCAACCAAAGATATGCCAAGTAACCAAAAATATGCTAACTGTCCTAGGAAAGTTGAGCCATCAAATTAACCAACTACAGAACTGCCCTAACTTGGAACTTTTGATATAGAAAGTCATACCTTTTCCTTATTGTTTAAAGCAATTGAGAGAGCTTTCTGTGAACTGTAACCAAAGATATGCCAAGTAACCAAAAATATGCTAACTGTCCTAGGAAATTTAATAAGTGAACAACAAAACCTAAAGTCCCTAAAGAAAAAAACTGACATATTTGACCTCATAAAATTTTAAATATTTGCAAGAGATAGGAAAAATGAAGTCAAAAGGCAAGTAACAGAATGGGATAAAAATATTTAAAACATATTCAAAAGATATACATTTTGTACATGCAATGTGTGTGTATGTACATATGTAAATGGTTATATGTGCATATGTATATATTTGTACATATATATACATGAAAACTCTTATAAAGATGAACAAAGCTATACAGAAAACTGGGCAAGTAATATCAACTATTGGTTAGGACTCTGGGAAGTAAGCTCTGTTCTGTATTATCAGTGGAATCTCAAACTGAAAAACTTTCTTAGAAAGGCAATTCATTACTCTGATAAAAATTTAAACTTCATGCACCCTTACTCTTGACCAAGAACTTTCACTTCTACAAATCTAGCCTACAGAAGTTTTCACACATGTGCTCAAATACATAGATACTGGGATGTTCGCTGCTTTATTATTTGTAATCATAAGAAGATGGAAATGACGTAAGAAGTCATTTATGAAGTCATCCATGACCATAAGAAGTATCAAGACTGAGGAGTGATTGAACATATTAAAATACATGTATATTATGGGTCTATATATAGTGATATGGGACAAGCTCCAAGACTCAGAAGAAATTTTAAAAAGCCAATTACCAAATCATACATACCAGAAGATCAAATTTATCTTAAAATCTATCATGGCATATGTATATACAGAGAAACATGGAAAAGAGATCTTTAAAGCTGTAGTTTAAACCATGAGGTGAAGATTGAAGTGGGACTTTCACAGTATGAAACTACACTGAATCTCTTACAGTGGGAATGAACTCCTGTATTACTTGCGCAATTTCCCTCTTGTGTAAACTAGAGGGAACAACAGCAGAACTCTGCAAAACTAAGGATCCGTTCTACTCTTTCACACTGTCTACAATATTTCTCCGTGTTCTTTAAGTGGAATTCATATTCACATAACAGGACATTTTGCAGTTTAACAAATCCTTGGATGTCACTGAGTCTCCTACTACTTTGAACTTCGTTTGAACACACCGAGAACGAGCAGAGCCATATATTTCACATATTTCACATATATTTCACAAGGGACTAAAGGGATGCAAAAATTAGAAATCAGTATTTTGGTAGAAGACCAATGGTCACACCCTGCAACCCTTGGCCTTCTTCCCTCCCTCCTACAGCTCCCTTTCATTCTAGAAGGGCATACACATGCCCTATCAAATTTCTCTTTTTACAATTTACCAGGAAACTGGAGAAAATGTTTATGTGCACATTTTAAAAAATAAATAAATGTGCACATTTTAAATAGAGCGAAGAAAAGTAAAAAGCAACTAAGAAACTACTTTTGGCTCCTAAGAATCATTAATATAATAAAAATGTTGGAAATAATGATCCCTCAATATTATTTTACACAGAAAGCCATGCTACATGAAAAACAAATGAGTTTTTATGTACAGTAATAGGTAGTATTCTAGTGAAACACAATTGCTATCGCTAGATCAGGCTTCAAAGATTACACAACAGTGTTGGAAAACTATTAAATAGACAAATCATATTTTCAATGACCTATCTATTAGTTTCAGAGTTGATTCTTTCATTCAAAAAAAAAAACGGTCATATTAAACTAAAAGTTAGAATATTCAACATTTGTTTTAGGAAATATTCTGACCTTATTAATTCACAGGATTCATTTAAGAAGTACTCCCACACATTTGCTACATGAAAATTCAATCAAATGGATTAAGTCCTCTTTTTTGCTCTTGTACTTTAAAAAGCAAATATATTAAGGTATAATTCATTTCTACCTTATTGAAATGTCTTGGTGACCCTACTAGGCTTGATTATTTAACTAAATACCTCACTAAATACTTAAGTGTATTAATTAGCTGAATGAGACCTATCAGAGTATCTTTTCAGAGAGAACATTAGTTAACAAAATATTCATGTATCAAAAACTCAGTATACAGTCTAAACGAGAGGTACAAATTTATAAAAGTAGTCACTGGGTATATTTCTTTGATTTCTCCTCAGACTTTATGTACCCTTTATGATGTCATTGGGCTTCCATAAAGAACCTGCCTGCCAAGCAGGAGACATAAGAGACGCAGGTTTGATCCCGGAGTCTGGAAGATCCCCTGAAGCAACCCACTTCAATATTCTTGCCTGGAGAATCCCATGGGCTGAGGAGCCTGGTGGGCCACAGTCCATAGGGCTGCAAAGAGTTGGACGCAGTTAAAGCTACTTAACATGCATGCACACAAGAATTCCATGGACAGAGGAACCTGGCAGGCTATAGTCCATGGGGTCACAAACAGTTGGACTTGACTAAGTGCATGTGCCACACACACAAAAACACACGCGCGCGTGTGCACGCACATGCGCGCACATACATGCATGTCATTAGATGACTAGTTGGCTAAATCATTCTCATATAACTCTATAGAAGGTTCAGGAGCATTAATATTTTTATCAAAAATACTTTCTTACAAGACTTGAAATAGTCATTTGGTTCTTTTAAATAGTAATCACTTCAAATATTCTTCTTGAGTCATAGGATCAAGAAATACCATTGATTAGCAAACTATCTATAAATGCTAAATACCCTGCAGGATATGTTTGAGTCTGTCTCCCTGGCCAGTTAATTCCTACAATTTCTTTTCAGAAAAACTGAAATCAAGCTTTCTTTTATTTGGTTAAATAGTTGCAGTGCTAAGGGAATATTCCACCATAACTTGCTCTGTACTAAGAAGTTTTTTTTCTTTCAATATTAAAGGTTCAGCTCTGTAAATGTAATGAAACCATGCTTACCTTCTCATAAAGCAGCTGTGGTAAATTCTGTTGCCGCCTGTCCTGAAAACACTCATAAAGTTGGAGCAGCCTAGCGCATAATACTTGTTCTTGATTGAAGAGAGGATGATGACTGAATTGCAAACCCACTATATTGAGATCTAATTGGTACATTTCCCTTTGACCTTCCATTTTGTTCCTAACAGAGCTTTCTACATCAGATTTCACTGCCTTTTAAAGAAAAGTATTTACACAATGTTAATTCGATTCTATTTTTTAAATTACAAGTAACTCCTTATAAAAGTAACATGCTAATTGTAAGCAAATGAAGACACAGAAAAGCAAAAAACAATTATCTGCTCCTTTCTTAAAACTGATTATAGCCCTTGATTTCATATATTTATATTGGAGCATTGTAATCACCTTACTATAAATGGTCATCTACTTTACTACTCTGTGCAGAGGCTGAACTTTCAAGTTATAAGCCCCCAAGTAATTTCCTAAAGGATCACGATAAAAAAAGTAGTGTTTAGAATTGGTGGGTCAATAGTTCGTTAATGTGATGATCTAATAATCATCTGGAGCCAGACTTAATCCGCAAACTATTATCTCTACTCCAATGGCCCTTACAGCATTGAGATTTTTATTTCCCAATGAGAAACCCCAAATGAACCTTGCCTCCATAGCTGGCTGTGCATAATAAAAATTGTAGGGAAGACAGAAGGGAAAGGCAGGCAGAGGTATTTGTCTGACACTAATTCCAGAATATTACCTGCTAAGAATGGTGTTACAGAATTAATTTTAATACTCAAGTTTACATGCTTGGTGAAGTGACATTTATATTTATTCCCAACTCTAAGAGTCCATGAAACACTGAAATTAGCTTGAATGAAGTTAGAAAAGAGCAGAAAGCTCCGATGATAGTTATTAACAGCATTTTTAGCAATAAAGTGTTTTTTAATTCTGCTATGTACACTGAGTTTTTTAGACATAATGCTATTGAATATTCAATAAACTACAGATTAGTGTAGACATAACTTTTACATGCACTTTTGAAATTTTTCAAAACCAAAAGCTTCATTTGACTTGCTTTACTGTGGTAGTCTAGAAGTGAATCAGCAATATCTCAGAGATATGCCTGTACTCCCAAATATCTTTATAAAACAAGCAGGATAGCAAAACCAAAAATCCACGGACAAGATTTTAAACAAAATTGCATCTGAAAACATCTCCACTGAATTCAAAAATACAAGTGGAGAAAAACCACTAACAGCAAGATCTGCATAGTACTGGTGACTGTATAAAAGTCGAAAGAAGCAATGAGATATCTGACCGTCCTGTTAAAAGAACCAGAAAGAGCCAACAGATACTCATCAGAAAGTACAACAAGCCAATTTAAAAACAGAAGGTAAAACTGTTACAGGTTTTGTGTACTCCAAATACAGGTAACAGCAAGGAATTTTGGTATAAATATCAACACTCGTTCATGATAAAAAATCTTTGTATTTGTCTTAATTTTAAAAGTAGGACAATTGGATACGGAAGCTGTGGTACATATACACCATGGAATATTATTCAGCCATTAAAAAGAATTCATTTGAATCAGTTCTAATGAGATGGATGAAACTGGAGCCCATTATACAGAGTGAAGTAAGCCAGAAAGATAAAGACCATTACAGTATACTAACACATATATATGGA